CGGGCCACGCCTTGCTCGGCCCGGGCTGATGCGACCAAAAGAGACGGCCACTGAAACAACCGCCAGCTCCGCCACGGCACCTTTGCAGAAGGAGTAACCACAAGGACACTTGCGTGGTGCACAGCCATCGCTTGCCCATCCTGCCCGAGGGGACAAGCGCCAGCCAAAGGACGGGGGCAGAGACCGTGTCCCGTTTGGGGCCAGGGACCGAGCGTGGGCTCTGGATCAGCTCTGCCGCGGAGCCCGCAGCCAGCGCGCAGCCGGCCCTCGCCTGCACGAGCAGCGCTGGAGGTGAAACACGGCGTGAAAAACCAAAGCAGCTTGGCAAACGTTAGAGCTGAGCAAACTCATCGGGGTGCTGCTTTTCTGCCTGGGACGCGTTTGACTGCTGACTGCGCTCGCCTGCAGGTATTCTCCAGTGATTTCCCAATTTCACTTACTGTAAACAATTTCTGTTCTGCACTGATCACTGTATTTATTTTTTTTCCCTTTTTGGCTTCAGCATGAGGTTACTCGAGCTGTTCTGCCAAGCTGTGGTCGGCCAGGTCACGGATATGTGCTGCTTATGACCACTAGTAGAGAAAAATCCCAGAAGTGTTTTAGAAAGTATTTTCCACGCTCTTTCACTGAAATACTGCTATGACTAGGGAACTTTAGTAAAGTAAATCCTGTCTGAGATACAAAACCGAGCGTCACCAGCTGCACTCCCGGTGCCTCCCCGGGGGCCCGCTCCCAGCAAAGCAAACTCATCTGCGGGGCGAGTAACTTGGCACTTTCAGCCACCTGCAACGCTCCGATAGAGCTCTGCCGAGATTAGGATGCCTCCGCAGCCCTGCAAACAGGTTTTCCTCTAATCCCGGGGAGGGAGCAGGCTGCTTCATCAACCTGGTTTTCTAATTTCCCCCTGGGCGCAGGAATCGATCTGCCGCAGCACCCGCGGAGAGCTCGGGCGGGCAGAGCGGGCAGGAGGCGGCCGGGCTGGAGGCGACCGCGCGGCAGCTCTCCTGCCAGCGCAGAGCTGCAGCCCTACCGTTACACCAGCAACGCTGACCTCAAAGTAGGCCAGTTTCCCTGGGAAAATAGGTAAAGCCATGAGCGCCTGAAGCGAAAAGCTAACCTATTTTGCCATACGCCCAGCCATGCTGAGAGAATAAACGGGAGCAAATTAAGCTGGAGGAGCGCACCAGCGCTCCGGGGCACGCTTCAAACCAGCAGCATCCGAGGGGCTCAGAAGGTGCCCTTCCGTCCCTGCAGTCGCAGGGAAGGTCAGAAAATGCAACTGTTGCTTGCTGAGCCAGGCTGGCGTGTTAAGGGGCAGCAGCAAAGCTGCTTAAGCGAGGCGGCAGAGGAGATGGCACCCAGCGCAGGGCAGGTCCTGGCACCCTCGCAGGGACACCCGCTGCGGCCGAGCGCACCACTCTGACCTCACCAGGTGCCATCACGTTGCAGCGAGGCCACCCCGGAGCAGCGATGAGCACGTGTCTCACGTGGGGCTCGGCCACCTGACCCTGGCCACGTGCTGGTCCCCAAAGCCACCCACCACGCAGTGAAAGATGAACCCAGGTGCTTCAACCTCCTTTCAGTATAAAAAACCGATGTTCTCCTGCAACGCCCTTCTGAAGCCATCCCGGCAGATGCCACGGGCTTTAGCACTCGCGGCTGGAAAGGCACCCCTGTCCCCACCCTGTCCCTGTCCCCGCGCCACCTCCCCAAGCCAAAAAGACCCAGGAGGGACCTTACCAATTTTTTAAGACAAGAGTTGTTATCAGAGCGGCTATGACCATGATGAGGGACACGGTAATAGTGATTATCTGATGAACCGCCAGACCTGCGGAGAAAAGAAACGAGAGAGAGTGGGGACGGGAGCCAAGAGGGATCCCAGGCAGCAGCGAGCGAAGCCCCCCGCCACGCATAGACCCCCCCGCCGCCTCCTCCCGAGCCCTCCCCGGCGCAGGGCTGCATGCAGCCCCCGGCAGCGGCAACGCAATCCTCTCTCCTTACATAAAATAATCTTTAAGCCAGGCTTCTCATTTCCTATCCTCTCAAGTATGTTCCTTGTCAGCCCGAATTAGGCACGAAGAACGGAAGAGATGTGAAGACGTATCCCCTCCGGGACGGAAAGGGAAACTTGAGCGCAGCCTTGCAGCGGGTGCAGGATTAACCAGAGATAATAATTACTGCACTAACTGCTGCTCACTTAGAAGGTCGGATGGGCTCATTTTCTCCTAATTCACCTTACACAGGGTATAATTTTGGCTCGTGTATCATTCCTAATGAGCAGTTTGGAAACAAAAGCATCTCAATGTACAGTATGTTTGTGATTTTGTGCTGCTTTACAGTTGCAATTTCGTAATGAAATGATTTTCCTGGCTGCAGCCCAAGGATGTGCTATTTTTCACAAACAGATGTTGCAGCTCCTGATGGATGGTATTTTTAATAAATAAATAAGTGTTAGCATGACGGGTAAACAAGCAGGTTTTTTTATATATATATATATATATATATATATATATATATGTGCATTTGTGCAATACATGCGTAGCGCTCCCAGCTTGTGCGGGTGGCAAGGAAATCGCTGCTTCCTCCCACACAAGAGCGCGCGCAGAAGGGTGGCTCTTCCAGCGCCGGCAGCCGTACGCACGCGCATCCCTTCCCCGGCAAAAGCGGCGTGCGCCAGGCGCACCCCCTCCTCGGAGGGCGGAAAGCCCTCCTGGGAGAGCCACGTCGGGGGCGGCGAGCCCCCGCTGCAGCCCGGAGCGCAGCTCTCCGCGGGGACTCTGCACACAGCATCCCCACGCTCCCACGGGAATGCCGCCCAGGGCTCTCCCATGCTCCCAAGCAGCGGATTTGGGGCCACGCCATGGCTCCCCAGCTTTTGGCACAGCGCGCCCCGCTCCCACGGCAGGCTTGCGCGAGTCTGAGCAGCAGCCCAAGCACCAGGCTGGGTAATTAGGCCAGACGAGATTTATCAGTGGTACTTTAAACCACGGACCACGCTTGCTGCTCTGCTGCCTTCTCTCGAAGGACAGGAGTTTTGACTCCCTTGAAATTTGTTATCTTGTCTCCCCCTGCTCATCCCTGCGCCCTGGGGGTTTTGGGTCCCTGCCTGAACACCCACGCTGCTGACAAAACTCATCAAGGCAGAGAAGCTGCTCGAGCTTAGCCTGCCTCCCAGGGCAAAGCTGCCGCCTCCCAGGTCCTGCAGCCTTCGACACCTCCCCAGCCCACGCACCTCCAAAGAACCCCTAACCCCCCCCGAAACACGATGGAAAATGCTTCTGGCCTGGGGCAGAGCGGGAGAAAAGCAAAGCTGTGCAAGGCTGTCGCGACCCACGAGGGCTCCCGAGGGGAGACGGAAGCCGCTTTGTGCGGGCGCACGAAGAGACACAAGTCACCTTCCGAAGGCTGCCTCCAGCAGCCTCCCAGCTTTTGGGAGCGCAATGCGCACCACGCCACGGCTCGAGGGGCTCCCCCGCGCTTCCTTAGCCCTGCCCACGGGCACGCGTGCCTCCACACCACTCCTCGCCACCTCAGCATCCTCGCTGAAGATCCACCATCCACTCCTCCTTGTGCACAGCGCAGGACCCAGGCTTCGCTGCTGGCCACCCCAGGAAGGAGGTGCGGATCCTCACTTGGGATGCGGAGACCCATAAAATCCCAGATTTTGAGCAATGAGGCCAGCTAGCAGTGACACCTTTTTAGGAAGCGCTGCAGACTTTGCTGCCAGGATGCATCCCCGGCGTAAATCAAATGCTCAGAAATGTGAGTCTTGACAGTTTAATATAATAAAACCAAGGTCACCTTCGGCGAGCCTGATTCACTGAAACATGCCCAGTGCCAAGCCCTCGGGTAGCGAGGGCTCATGGGGAAGGCTTTGCTCCCAGCCCCGGAGCTGCTGTGCCGGCACAGCAGGCAGCAGCCAGCGACTGACACCAGGCTGCCGGGGAGGGAGCTGCTCGGGAAGGACCGGTGGGAAGGGAGGGGAGTGATGGCCTGGCACCCGCCCTGGCGACCACAGAGCTCTGGCATCTGGCAGAGCAAAAGCACTCACCTCCGAAATAAAAGCAGAAGGGTTTCTGGAAGGAAGCACGCACCCGGCATCTTCTAGCGCTTATTCCGCTTTGCCAGTGGATACGCTATGGAGATCTGGGAGAAGAGCTGGAGCAGATGTCAGCCACGCCATGGACATCGCTGGCGAAGGGCTCTTCTAGAGGCAGGACTGAGGAGAAATGACTTCCCGAAGGCCAACGCTTCCAAACTGCCAGCTCTTTGGATCATGGTACAGTCCCAGTGCCAAGCCAGCGGAAGACAAGAGCCCACCAAAACGCCGGGAGGTGCAGAATGCTTCCTCTGCTCCCCAGGGCTGCAAGCCACACGCTCCCTGCCCAGGGAGCCATCAGACGGACAGACGGATGGCTGCTCGCCAGCCCCTGCGCCCTGGCGAAGTGGAGCGCAGTGGGATGGGATGCGTCAGGGTTATTTTTCTCCCTCAACTCAAGCACCTATTTTGCAAATGACCCATTTCCTCCATTTACTCCCAATTACACTTCAATTGGTTCAAACACGCTGTGACAAGGCTCCTCCGGAGAACGGCTGGCACGAGCAGCTGCCAGAACAAAGAGCCGGTCAGGGGAAGGAACCGCGACAGCTGGGGATGGTGGTGGCAGAGGACGGGAGGACCCGGACCCACTGCCTCCGCACCAGCTCCAGCTCCGGAGGGGTCTGACGCCAGGGAACAGCCGCTGGGCTTCGTGTCCTCGAGGAGGAGACCCGGCAGGGCCTGGCAGAACCGTTCATAGCTCTGCAGGCTGCGGGGGCTCTGAACCAAAAGCCAACACCCATGGGGACACTGCTGCGGGTGGGCAGGACCGCTTGGGAGCCGCCGAGCCCGGAGCTGCATGGGCTGGCGGAGCCGTCCTCCCCCCAGCTGGGGAGATCGGCCACCTCCCACGAGCGACTCGGGACCCAGGGCCAAATTACGTGCTCCTCGACTGCTCTGCCTCTGGCTTTCCTTCCCCGAGGGAATTCAAGGGGAAAATGCCACAGGGCTCCCCACCGCCCACTGGCACCCCACTGGCTGCAGGCGAAGCGTGGAGAAAGACTTCTGGCCCTGCACTTTGGGTCTCCGGAGGACAGTCGCGACGGGAGCCGTGTCCTGACAGACCCAAGGAGCGCAGCTGGCAGCTCCCAGCCCCCAGCTCACACCCGCCCTGGTGCTCCCGCGCGTGCCGGGTCAGGAGCGACGCCCACCCCGGCAGCAGCCCGGCGCAGCCAGCCCGGCCCCATCCTTCGCGGCAATCTTGGAGCAGCTCCCAGTGGGACACCGCCGAAAAAGATAAAAGGAAAGACTCTAAAAATAAAATAAAAACAGCCCAGTGCCCGATTCCTTTGAAAACAGAAGCGGCGTCGGAAATGAGACCTTCTGCAAAGATGGGAGCCGAGGCAGAGGCGGCAGGGACAGGGGAGAACCTAACGATGCAATTAATCCTTGCACTTACATAATGAGAAAGGCGCAGGCAGAACAGATTGCAGGTGGCTGAGCACTGGGAAGGATGGCAGCTCTTCGGAGCAGGACACATGGATTTTAAGAAGGGCTGGATAATTTTAGACTCCGTCACATACATAAGTTGCCATATGTACCGGCATAGAAGAAAGTTCCTTTGCATCGCATATTAATTCTGCACTAGAGCCTGGGGGGATTTCAAGGGGACGGGAAATGTTTTTCCCAACAGCGTTAACCACGGCAGCAATGGAAAGAGGGAAAGGGACCGGACGGTTAACTGGGATGATTCCCTGGGAAGAAAGACTAATAGGTCTTTATTCTTACTTTACAAATACATCAGATCCTTTCCTCTAGGGCTTCAAAGAAGTATATAGAACCGTACCGAGCAAAATCGAACAGAAATATCCAATCTGCAATGGAAGGTGTTAATGGATGGGGCATCCTGGGAGAGGGCAACGTCCCTAAGGGACACCACCCGGGGCGCGAGGCGAGATGAAAGAGAGAGATGGCTGCCAAGAGCGAAGCGTTATTTTAAACGCGGCCCGAGGAGCCCAATCTGTCTGGAGGAAAGGGACTTGGAGGATAAAATCAATAGCTCATAAAGCAAAATTACCCTCCTCCTCTGGTGCGAGAAGCCTTCTGGCGCACGCGTAACTCAGAGCGAGAGCCTGCGCCCCAGAACGCGGGGCAGGCTGCAGGAAAGCACCTGGAAGCAGGAATTACCGTGGCTCGGTTTTCTTTGCTCGTCTCCGTGGCAAACATTTCAAATGGCAAGCTCCGATCTGACCAAGTTACAAAACCTTGGCGGTCATTTAATTACACGTTAATAACCGGCGAAGAAGCAAGCTGCAGGAAGGGCAGGGGCTGGGGCGCAGGATCGGGGAGGGATGCCCGGTGAGCTGCCGCCCCGTCCGGCGCGGCCACGGCACCTGTAAATGCCTCATCTCGGTGAGGGGGCTGCGAGCGGTTCCCTCTTACAAGGCTTTTACTAGGTAATTTGACGCAGTGACCATTTAACTCGAGGGTAATTACAGGAGAAGTATTTAATGGAATTGAAAGCGTGTCCAAACCCCTGCGCTTCTGCTAGTGCAGCAGAATTTAATGTGTCGCCTGCCAGGAGGGAAAGCTCTTCAAAGGCGCTCTTTGAACCCTTGGAAATGCTGAAATATTGCTGGGTTTTTCCACTCTCACGCTGTCCGAGCACACTCCACTCTTGCCGGGGACGTTTTGTCCCCTCCGGCGGTGGGAAACCCGGCCTCGGCAGCGCCGCGGGCAGCAGCCCCAGCCCGGCCGCTCGGGCAGCAGCCACGCATCACCCCAAAAAATGCAACTCCAAATTCCCCACATCTCGGCAAAACCCCCATCTTCTCAAAGCAAGCAAAGGCCAGGGCTCTTTTTATATGTTATTTTAAAGGCCATATATTTGCCACCGAGATGAAAGCGCTGAGTTTTGGCCTTTCTGGCCACCTTTTGTAAACGGCTCCCGGACAGCTCTGCATCAACAGAATTAATTCCCTGCGAAAATCCATTCGAGACTAATGTCTTGCTACTGCAGAAGTGCGCGATGGCAGCGAACAGGAGATATAAGCTCTTAATTAAAAACAAAGACAACCTCTATCCCCCAAGGCCTTCATTTCAACAGCTCTGGTTAGGGAGACCGTATTTTTCATTTTCCCAATAAAAACAGCTATGAGCCGCAACTCTTTGAAGACCCTCGTCAAGGCCTCTAAGCTGCATAAAATTAAAAAAGGAAAAAACAGCTCCGATTCATTTTGCAAAGCATAATCTTGAGTTACCATTAGTGGCAGAAAAACAACAGATGCTCCGAACGCCTGCTGCACCCCAGCCAGGGGGGCTGCAACGAAGCACCTAAGCCCCTTCCCGCACGCGTCCCGCGCGGATTGCTTCCTTGCTTCTTTCTCCCTGCTCTGCCTCAGCCTTCCCGCAACTCCCAATGTGAGTCGAAATGCTAAAAAGAGGGTGAATCTCCCAAATAAGCCAGGGCCAGGTCTGCCGGCACGCGGCGGGGAGCAGGGAGGGCCTGTCCGGCATTGCAGGGGTGAGCCGGAGAGACGCATCCTTGACTGCAGCAGGATTTCCATGTGCACGGTCGGGCCCAAACGCCTCTCCCTCTCGCTCCTCAATCCAAGCATCACATCTAGCCAGGGCGCGACCATCCCAAATGGGTTCCCAGTAACAAGCACTGATAAGAAACTGGCTCCTGGGAGCAGCTGAAGAGCTTATAGAGAGGGAAATGATGGAAACGCAGATGGAATCGGTGCCATGGCAATTGGTCCCAGCCAAAATAACCTTCTAAGCAATTTCCATGGTAAGCATCACAGCCCACGCAGAAGCCAACAACTGGCGCTGTCGCCACCGCCTCCGCCCTGCCCCGCGCTCGGCTCGGTGCAGCAGCGCATCGGGCAGCCGGTCACGCCGTGCCCCTGAACCTGACGGGCACGCCAGCACCTGCTGCCCGCAAGGGCCGGACAGTGAAGGGTCCCTCTCGGGTGGCGTAGCCACCGTCCGTGGCGCTGGGCCTGGCTCCCTGCCCGCGCCCCAGCACGCAGAACGCAGCTGGAAGAGCCGCGCAAGCCAGGAACAGGGAATGGCCGGGCTGATGGGCTCCGCAGAGCCTCCCAGGTCTGCAGCAGCTGACCATCAGGTACCGCATCTGCGGGGAGCGGAGCGGGCAACGCAAGATGGCAACCACCTGAGAGGACCCGCTCCACACCAGTCCATCAGGCACACGAGCCCAGCAGCTGGCCGGCTGCCTCCTCTGGGCATCGTCCCCAGCTGCCTTGGGATGTGGGGACATCGGTGCCAGCAGCTGCCCGAGGAGGGGCTCCCTCCAAAGCGGGATCTTCTCACGGGGCTCAGCATCCCATCCTCCTCCCTGCCACGAGTCTCCTTCCTCTGTTCTTGCATGCCATGGGCACCGGGATGCCTCCGCCTCCTCCTGAGCATCGCGGAGAGGCTGGGGAAAACCGGCTGGACTCAGGAGGCATTACAGCTCCCCCAGCCATCAGAAAACCCATCTGATCCCTGAAAGCCTCATCTAGCCAATAAAACCGCTTTTGGACAGAAAAATTCAACCGGGAGTGCTGCGTGGCCGTTCTGCTGCAATCGCAGCCACAAATGGCCTTTCCCAGGGGGGATCAGTCAGACTTTGCCGTAACACCAACCCTACCGCCGTTTAATAGCTTGTAAGAAAAATAATTTACAAAAACCACGAGGGTTAGATACAGGAGGTGAGATATGGCAGGAGTCTTCTTGGAAAAGCTTGTTCCGGTGCAAAGCCGGTTCACCCGCTGCCTGACCCGCTGTGCTGGGAAATCGCCTTGGGGCCGCTCCTCTTAACACCCCTCTTGCCTTCAAAGCAGAGTTTGTGCAGGCAAAGCCCCTTGGTTTTCCACCTGGTAAATCAGGGCGATCAGCTCCGAAGCCCAGCCCAGTGAGCATTAGTCATCCTGAAGTGAAAACGCAGCTCTTCAGCGAAAAAAACAAGGTTCCTGGAAACCTCCTGGTGTTTCGGGTTGGACTGATGAAAGGAGAATATCCTGCTGCTGCTGCGAAATATTCTTGCCAAGAACGAAGATCCTAGAGGCTTATGCTAAAGACACTGAGACTTATCTTCCCAGGTGTTACAGCAAATATCACCGAGCAATAAATATCTCTGAGAGCAGCAGAGGAGAGTTTCTGGCTCATTTAGACACACGTGGGTGAAGGCACACACGACATCTGCTAATCCCAGGGAGAAAGAGAGTCCCTTCTCCCTCGCCAGAGAGAGCTCAGCTTACGGCCACGCTCATTTCTTGCTTCAGCCACCATCCTCCATCCTTAAGGAAAACCACCTTCCCGTGCAGCCGATGCACGGCCTTACAAAGGATCCTTCGGGAACGCCCTGGGAAGGCGGCGGGCGGGTGCCGGCCCAGGAGATGCTGTCCAGCCCCCTCGCCTCCTCTCCGGCCCCCGGCTGCAATGGCTCCCCACGCCTTTGCACGGCGCATCAAAGCGGCGGCTCCATCCTAACCGCCCAAGGTCTTCTTTTAAACACATTTTATCTTTAATTAATTCCTTTGAAGCCTTTTGCATCCGCTATCTCCTTGCATCCAGCGCCCCCTCTCCTGCACCCTCTTTCTGAAGGCAGGGTCAGCTCCCAGCAGGGAAGCGAATGTCTCTCTATTATTATTTATTCCCAATACGCTCCTGGCCAGCAGTGGGGAGGGAGCGGAGGGCGGGCAGGGGCACACCAGGAGCTCAGCTCCGGCTGCCGGCACGGCGGGTGCCCACACCAGCACCCACAGCACTCCTGGCTGGCAAACCCGGCCCCGGCCCCTGCCCCTGCCCCGGGGACGGGGTGCCCCTTAGCACCGGCTCCTTCACGAGCACGCTGCCTGCACAGCACGATGCCAAACTCGTTGTGTATCGGCCATCAAATCACCGTTAAGAGCAGCAGACGGCACATAAAGTCTTCTGCCTTATAAAGCACTTAAAGGTTTAATTAAAGACGGCTTTATTCTAATAATACTGAAAGAAGAGCCTCAGACAACCCAGTGAGCGCAATTCATGCCTTCGCTCTGACAGTCTCTGATTCATTCTTCTCTTTTCTTCTGTTTTTTGGCTGAGCCCGTAGCACAGGAGGACGCTCTGCCTTGGCGGAGCAGCCCGGCCCGCCCGGAGAGCAGCCCCGCAGCTGCCCCAGGGAAGGCTCCTTACAGCCCTCGCCTCTTGCAGCGCGCTGGAATTTTAATTGTTTCTCTCTTTCTGTGCTCCACCGTAAAATGATTACGACAGCCCCCGAAAAAGGAAGCACTGTTCTGAGAAGCATAAGCATAAACTACGCCTGGGTGAACATATTGTGTCCCCATCGGAGCGCCAGCAGTGCTCTGCCGGGCGCCAGGCGGGCAGGGTGGCAGCGGGACAGATGCACCTGAGCTGCGGGTCACCCACCGCACCCCCGCGCGCCGGCACGTACCGGCCTCTCCTCTCACCCCGGACAGCGCGAGGAATCACGCCTCTGCCTTCTCTCCTACCTACAGGCAGGGTATTTGCTCTTCCAGGGGATTTTTTTTTAAGCTTCTTTTTGCTGCTAGTGAGTCACGGAGACATTGTTTCTCGCTTTTTTCCTCTCGCTTCTTCAGCAGGGAGGCGCAGGGCGAGAGGAAGATCTAAGTGAGCAGGATTGCTTTAACCGCTCATCTAAGCAAGCGTGGCTTCACTGAAGTGCCCCCACCCCGCGCCCCCCAGGGCCCCCAGGCCCCCAGCATCACCAGGCGCCCGGGCAGCACCTGATCCGACGGGAGTGCGGGTCCGCTCGGCTGTGGGAGCCCTGGCGCGGCTCTGCTGGCTCCCGGCGTGGCCCCAGCTCCCTTGGGTGCTGCAAGCGGGACCACCCCGACCCCCAGGGCTGCCGCCAGAGAAAGCTGAGGGACCACAAGCCGCGAGAGCAGCATCCCTCCCTGCCCGCCCACCCACCTCGGGCTCCTATCGCGACGTGCGGTGCCTTACAGGACGGCAGGGCGGGGATTTTCAATGCTCGCTGAGGCAAGTAAAAAGTACAGACGAGTTACCTAATCCTAATTTGTAGCCATATGTTTTTCCCAGCAGAGAACAAACACTTCCAGCCGCTAAAGCTTATGTAACCGCGAGGAGCCAGGCTCGACAAGCGCACGGCCTCGCACAGGCGCGGCGCCAGCAAAGCCGGCGACAGCACGGCCGCTGCTTCGAGACGGCGTTGGCCGCGGGCTCCCGAAACGCTCAGCCCCAGGCGCGGCAGGGGGGCCGGGCTCCCCACCGGAGCTCCCCACCGCCCTCCTGCGTGCTCAGCCCCGGCAGCGGAAGGCAAAGCGGATCCAGAGC